TCTTTCAGAGGACCTGAGCTCAAGTCTCAGTACCCGACTCCTGCTCCAGGGATTCAACACCCTCTTCAGATCTCTGCAGGCACTGCACACACATACATATTCATATAGTTCAAAATAAAATAATCTTTAAAAAAAAAGACTGATATTATGAGTGTTGGCTACATAGATGTGGCAGTTTGAATGTTATTGGCCCCCATAATCTCATAGGGAGCGGCACTATTAGGAGGTGTGGTTTTGTTGGAGTGGGTATGGCCTTGTTGGAGGAAGTGTGTCACTGTGGGAACAGGCTTTGAGGTTTCCTATACCACCCAGTATCTTAGTCGACTTCCTGTTGCCTGCAAACCAAGATGTAGCCAGCACCACATCTGCCTGCATGCTGCCATGCTGCCCGCCATGATGATAATAGACCGAACCTCTGAAACTGTAAACGAGCCACCTCAACTAAATGTTTTCTTTATAAGAGTTGCCAAGGTCATGGTCTTTTCACAGCAATAGGAACCCTAACTAGAGTAGTGGGAGTTTTTATGCTCCGCTTTTAAGAGTGTAAATTGGTGGCACATATATACCTCATAATGTAGTAGCCCACCCACACACACACATACATAACTGTAATGCTTGTGTGTGTGTGTGTGTGTGTGTGTGTGTGTGTGTGTGTGTGTGTGTATGTGTGCCAGACCACATATACAAGAATGTTCATAGCAGCAGTACTGGCAAAAGTTTAAAACTAGAAACAAGTCAAGGGTCTTGTCAGCACTTGAAGTGATTTCATTGGCCATATATATATATGTGTATGTATGTTTATAATATCATATAGTCATAAAAACTTTTCATCAAGTGGTGCAAATAACAGATTGGTTTTGGTGGTGGTGGGAAAAATCGAACTTCATATGTGCTATACTTCCAGCTCCAGTCTATGAATTACATTTTAGGACAGTCATGAACAGAAGAATACATTTGAGAAAAGGAATCTATACTAAGGGTTGTGGTTACCTTTGGGAAGGAGCGTAAAGATGATTTAAGTGTTGGTCATTGTCCCTGAATCTTAGTGAAAATTACATGGTTGGTTCATGTCATGAAAATACATTGTGCTTTCCACTTGTGATTTAAACTCTTGTTATTCTAACATGCTTTTGAAGGTTCAAAAGCTAGTTGCTGTCCATCTGGAAATAACTAGAAAAAAATTCCAAAACAAGAACAATACAGTCTGAAAATGTATAATATAAAACAAGTCTCTACTTGATGGCAAATAATGACAAATGGCCTCTGGAAAAAATAGATTTAGCTAGTTCAGAAATGGCCAGTGGACCTATAAAATTGTGCTCAAGGCCAATAGTCATCTAGAGTTAAAAGAATTGCGACACTCATTGCCAATGTCAGGCCTATGAAAGGAGATGAGAGGAACGCAGTTCTTTCCATCTGAAATGTGAATTTGAGGAAAGTTAAGCTACTCACATTTGAAATGAGTGGTCCTCCAATGCAGCAGTTCTCCCGGGAGTAGGTTGCGTAGACATAAAGGCCTCACAGGACACTTAGTGTAGCCTTAACAGCAAACAAAAACTCGGAATCAACCTAACGCCTATGATTTTCAAGGAGGTTTTTTTGGTTTTGTTTGTTTGGGTTTTATTTGAGACAGGGTCTGATACTATAGATAAGGCTAGCTTGGAACTTGAGATGGAGCCCAAACTGGCCTCAAATTCATGGCAATGCTCCTGCTTAGCCTCCTTAGTTCTGAAGTTTGCAGGATGAGCCACCATGCCTCCCTCAAAGAGATAGTAATGAATTGTTTTACAAGCATGAAATGTCATGAAACTGTTAGGTTATTAGTTAATATCGCCATGTGAATATGAAATTATATAAGAAAAACAACATGCAGGGCTAGAGATATGGTTAAGAGCGCTTGCGGCTGTCTGCCAGAGGACTGAGTTCGGTTCCCAGACCCAGGAACCGAAGGGTAGGGTAGTAGTAACTCCAGCTCCAGGGGATCCTATACTTCTGGCCTCCAAGGGCATCTGTGCACATGTATACATACCCACATCCAAACACATATACCCACACATAATTTTTAAAAATTTTTCAAAAAAAAAGAGAAAAATGTTCAGATTGTACATTCAATATGATCTCTCTTCTAGCAATAATCAAAACTCCTATGAGTGTGTGTGTGTGTGTGTGTGTGTGTGTGTGTGTGTGTGTGTGTGTGTGTGTGTTATTATGAGTGAGACAGTGGAGGAGGGATTAAATCCTGGTCATGATGGCAACAGTTAAATGCTGTTTGTCCTTCTGTAACCCAAGTCCTGGTGTCCCTTGAGAACTATGTATGGAGCCTGTCTCACTGGCCGACAGCTGACTCAGAGCAACTACTAGTTTAAGTAGGTATCCATTCAATGCATAGCCCAATGTTTTGATATAAGGTCCTTTGGACCCTTTAAGCAGTAGGAGTCTGGCCCCACAGTTTAGCTTCCATGACTCCTTCAGTCTGAATTTCTTCTGATGGAGAATTCCTGTTGAGAAATGTCGCACATCTCGATGGTCCTTAATGGAAGCCACTCTGTCTGTTGAGTTCAGGTTTCAGTGATTCACCAAACATGAAAACAATCAAAGCACTTCTAACTCTTAAAAATAGCATTTCCTGGAATTCAGAGCACTGGCAAATGTTCTCACATTGATTCGATCCAATTTAAAATTTCACTTAGGTAAAGTCATTATATATTAAATTGTATTTTGTGGGACTGGAGAGGTGGCTCAGTGGTAAGAACCCTTGCTCTGTAAGCATGAGGACTTAGTTGGAATCCCCAGCACCCGTGTAAAAAGCTGATCATGGCTATTCATACCTGTAACCTTGGCACTGGAGGAGGAGAGGCATAGATCCCAAGAGCTCACCGGCCAGCCAGCTAGCCAAAACAGCCTGCTTCTGGGTCAGTGGGAGCCCTGTCTTTAGGTAATGCAGACATTGCAGAGCATGATAGAGATAGACACCTGATGCCTGGCTCTGGCTTGCACACATGCACATAGACACTCACCACACATGATGACACATTAATTATTCTTTTTGTGATATTTCATGATCTTTAAAAGCTCTAAGATGTCAGGGATCTTTTTTTTTCCCATGCTTTGAACCTAGAAGAAGTTGACCGGTTCTTTTTAAATGAAGAGGGTGATGGTAAAGTTATTATTCACCATTACGTCATTATTTTCCATTGCGTCTGTGTCTAGTGTGCTTTGCAAGATGTTGTCATCTTTGGCACCTGCCCTCTCAAGACGATAGCACTCTGGTCATCCCAGTCACTGAAAGCTTTTGTTGGGGAGGAGATTGCTACCACCATTAGGAACCGCAAGCCCAGAGTGATGGAGGAATTGTTTGTAAGGGCGGCAATGCCCAAGATGTAGAACCTTGAGAGAGGAGTAGGATTTTAAAGCCTGGGAAATTGGAACCCAGACAGCGATCTAAAGGAGGGAGTGACATCATGGAGACTGACTGAGGGAATAGTGTGCCCGTGCTGTAGCTAGTAGTGAATTTGGGTAGAGTGGAGATAGCGGAGGCTTGGCGGGAGGTTGGCACAGGTGAGGGCAGAGAAGGGCATCGTTTCACCCCCTGACGCTTGCCACCAACCACCACCAAGCTGACTTTCGAAAGCGATGCTCTCCTCGGCAGTCACTTGATACCTCGATACCACTTTGAGCTCAGGACGTTTTGTCTCGTTGATTCATCTAACTTTCTTTCCAGTTCTTAAAATTGACTAGGTGTGGCTGGCTGGACCCTTCCTTACCAGCATGCTCACTTCCTGCTTTTGTGAGTGTCCGTTTATGTCAATCCGGAGACATTCCTACTCAGAAGCTAACGGAAGGAAGGGTCCCCACAGTGCTCAGGACACAACTGTACGCGGCTTTTCATGCCCCTTATTCTGTTTTTCTGAGCAGTTTTGATTTTTAGGGACTATGTGAGGTTAAAGTACAGGCCTCACAGGATTTTTATGCCTCCAAAGCAGACTTTTGTCTTTTGGTCAACCAATGTTGATACAGCTTTGTGTTAAATTATTTGATATGGAATTAGTACTGAGCCCCCTTAAATCCTGTTATGCATTTACAGATTGACAATTTTTAATATTACAGCATCATAATGTTTTACATTTAAACTAATCAGATATTTTTTTATTTGCTTTGGTAACTATATTTACTCATTTTGGAGGTTAGGTATGTGTGTATTTCTGCCTCTCTCCATGCCTAGTAGAATACTCAAAGTAACTATTTAGTATTTTAAATTTTGATTTTTTTCCCCCTATCAATCTCTGGTGACCATGTCCACACCACTGCTTTGTCTTGTTAAGCACAGAGCGTGCTGTCCAGGGCACTCCTGCAGCCAAGGACGTCTTCTCCTTGGCTGCCTTCTTCAGCCTCACTTTGCCTTTTCTAATTAGGAGATCTCAGTGTCTAACTGAATGGAAGCAGCCTTGTTTTAACTAGAGAGCGGTGTTGGTGTCAGGGTATTTCTTTTAAAGAGTAAGAACTGACATATTTTGGTCCTTTGTAGTTTTCAAACTTTTTCTTCTAGTTTTTCTCATTGCTCTTTGTTCAAATGAACGCCCACCCAGGATGTTACTGTACCTTTCTTCTGAAGAGAAGAGACAGGAGGAAAGTGGTGGTCCAGAGCCCCACCTTAGACTCTTCCCTCCTCATCCCCATCCAACACAGCTCAAGAATCCTTAAACTCCGCTCATTTAAAATGCTTTTTAAAGAACTTGGTTTGTGATAGCTCACCTAGGAACGTGGTTTAAAAGCTGGAACTACTGGTGGTAAAGTGGTTTTTACGTACAAAGGAGAACACTGGGATGCCTTTCTCGTTTCAGCAATAAAAGAGTTAACCCACGGAGCAGTAGAGGCTGCGATTCTGCAGCGGGATAGTGCTCTCAGTCTCTGTCATTTGTGGTTTAGAAAAAAGGGGGTGGTGTTCTGCATTTGAAAGGACTTTAATGAATGCTGTCAGTGTTTGTGAGAGAGCGGAGGGTCTGTATGGGAAAAGGGAGCTGGGAAAGTGCTGTGGCTGCTTCAGGATAGGTGGATCGGAGTTTGCTCTGATTGAACCGGAATGTTCCACCGCGGTTCATCTTTATTCATTATCCTTTGTTCTTTATAGTCTGATATGTTGGGATGAAAGTAAATGTAGATATATATATGGACGATTTATTTTCCTTTGAAGCTGTTTGTTGTATACAGCGGGAAATATACTTCTCTTGTCTTGGTTGGATGCACAAATCCGTGTGCCGTGCTTTTTGCCCGTTGCCTAGACGATCACTTGGTTTCTCTGAGGATGTCTGGTTCTCGTAAAGAGTTTGATGTGAAACAGATTTTGAAAATCAAATGGAGGTGGTTTGGCCATCAAGCATCATCTAATTCTTCAGTTGACAGCCAGCAGGGAGAATTTTGGAACCGAGGACAGACCGGAGCAAACGGTGGAAGAAAGTTTCTAGATCCATGTAACCTACAATTGCCTTTGGCTTCAATTGGTTACCGAAGGTCCAGCCAACTGGATTTTCAGAACTCACCTTCTTGGCCAATGGCATCCACCTCTGAAGTCCCTTCGTTTGAGTTTACCGCAGAAGACTGTGGCGGTGCACATTGGCTGGATAGACCAGAAGTGGATGATGGCACTAGTGAAGAGGAAAATGAATCTGATTCCAGCTCGAGCAGGTTGATTGTTTTCTTACCGTCAGAGGTGGGGTGTGGGGTATATTCTCTGTGTTATTTGAGAATAATTGACTATTCACTGGCTAAGCTCTGTGATTGTACGTACACCTGCTTCCTGGGTACTGTTACATGAATAGCATCTTGGTATGGACATGTGCGTTTGCTAGGATTTGGAAAATGTGTCAGCATTAATTCTGTGAAATTTAAAGACAACACATAGCTTTCATTTTGAAACACCTTGCGTTTCACGTATAGGTCTGGCTGTGCTTTGAAAATAATCTATAGGAGCAGTTTTAGACATCGTTGCCTGGCGCTATTCATCTGCTTTCTATATTACAGTAAAACTGCATGGCATTTCTACAGTATAAATCTTTGTGATATTTTGGGTTGTCATAGATTGTGGAGTCATTTTGAATGGCTGAGAGTGAAGGGTTTTACAAAGAGAGACACACACTGGAGTTCCCAGTTTTTGACACCATTTTAGTTGTGAATACTATTTTTCTGTGGTTATTTCTTTGTCCTGTCTCTGGTGCAGCCCTACAGACTAAGACAGAGAATACTAAGTAACATGTCTCGTTCAAGGGTAACACCTACTAATTCTCGCTACCCTTTTTTTCACTGAAATCATGTTTAAGGGAAGGAAAGATAATCTTTCAGGAAAGTTTAAGGGAATAAGGGGAGGGGGCGGTGCTAGATGTGGTCAACTGACAAAAAAGAAGAGATAAGGAGAATGAGTTAGAAGAAATACAATAAAGAAAAAAATTCATGATGATTTTATTCCATTTCTCCTGGAATCCTTCTTTTCTTGGAGATGGATGTTCTCGATCAGTTTGACATGCCATGTAGCAAGTTAAAGTTGCCTTTCTGATTCATCTTCACTCTAGAATATTTCTAAACATTTAAAGGCACAAGTAGCTTCTCATTGGGCATTTGATTGCTTTCTCCCCTTTAAAATTCCTTTGCAGGTTTTGATTATTATATCTCTAAGTTGGTTATTGTCAGTGTAGGCATCCTGAAGAATTGAGATCAAATGCACTCATATGTTCAAGTGTCTCATGCTTGGGGACAGTCACCACCTTCTCCTCCTCTAACCTTCAGAACATGGAATTCTGACCTGTGAGGGGATAAAAACATAGACCAGTCATCTGTAATCACCTGTATAATGGAGAGAGGAGAGTGTCTTTACCTAGGTAAACAGTGTGTTCAAGAATTTTTTGATTACTTCATGACTTGGCTTTATCCTAAGGGAAGAGAAGCCATGAATAATTTTAATATTGAGATTAACTGAACAAGCATGATTCTATTATATTTTGGGGGGAACTTGTTGCCATAAAGAAAACATCAAATTTTTAGTTTTATGATTTTTATCAATTTTTGTGTGAGAGTAAATAATCATTCCATTTGAAAAAATCAATATATTAAGAATATTTAAATAGTTTTAAAATACAAAACATTCATTTCTTTACCAGCTTAGGTTATAAGACTATTAACATCTATCTACTACCCAGGGAAATTATGTGACCATAAAATTTATGACATATGTAATATTGGGAAAATTTACACACACTCCTTACATCCCAGGTGGTTTATGTAACCAATGAATACTAAAATTTAATCCTCTTTTTTGTATGCACATTGAATTATTTTGGTGAAGTGTCAGTTATGAAAGAAAAGATTTTTGTTTTGACCCAGAGATAGCTATTGTATATTCTTCAAGAATCTTATATTGATATTTTTATTTATAGGAATATAAAAATAAAATGCTAATCCAGAAGATAGTGAAAGATAGAGGTAGACAGTTCACATCTTCAGAGACCTAACTTAAAAAAATACTATCCATACAGTAAAATGTAATAAAAGAAAATGTCTGATTTTCAGATCTCAGGGGGATATGTAAGAGCAGTTACATATTCTTGATGGTTTAACATTTCAATCTTATTTTAAAAAAAAAAAAGGTCTAGAGTTTAGAATGTGCTTTGCCCTTCCCGTCTCCGTGTTCTTCTAGACGAAATGTATCCAGTTTGTATGCCTTCTCTCAGGCCTCTGGCCGGGTCTTTGACCTTTGTCACGGGGATACATTTGTTGCCCTCAGCTTTTTAAATGGCCAAAGTTCTAAGTGGCTTCTGCTATAAGCTAATCAAAGCCCATTGCTACTGTTGTCAAAGAAGTTGCCGTGACCTTCATCAGATTCTTATGCATAACGTGGAGCAATTATTTTTGTGTATATTTGCCAGTGATGAACTAGGAAACCTTCTGAGCATATTATAAATTGAGATCTGAAAATATTAAAGATACAGTGAGGACACATATATAACAAAGTTATTTCTTCTTTGAACAGTCATCAGTACAGATATCAGAACTTAAACAGAACTTGTGGGTTTTGAGGATAGGGGAAGGACAGCTGAGTGGTTTTGCATAATCAGGATCCTGACACCCTTCATGGGTGTGGATAACTGAACGCAGCAGGGACTGCAAGTCTCCTATGCAAGGAGCATGCTTTGTCACTGTGTTCTGGCTGAAAGGTTGCACAGGCATTGGCCTCTGACCTCTTTCTCTGCCACTGCTCTAAACCATTTCAACATGTCTCACCTTTTAGCTTGCTTTAATCTCGGCTCCATAGCCTAGCTGTGCTTTCTCTGGGGGGGGGGGGGGGGGGGGGCGGTCAACTTCAGTACTGAAATATAAACTTGGTTTTGTTTTAATATAGCATGAGGAATTTCGGACTTTAAAAATACAATTTTCATGTCTTATGTGAGATAGATTTCTAAGATCTCAATTCCAGACTAGTTCTTACCAGCTGCAGTCAGCAAAGTGTCCATAGCTAATACCATGTGATCATAGCATAAGTGACTTACACCTATTCAGTAAAGAAATTAAGTTTTATTTATAAAGCTTAGCATTTTGGATATTTGAACTTTTAAAGTCAGTTTTATACAAAATGTTATTGCAATTTAAACTCTTAAAAAATCATAGCTGAAGTTCCCTCAGTGTCACTATGAGGGACGGTTCTAAGCCCTTCAATATGTTAACCCATTTATTTTTTTGCAGTGCTATTTTTAAAGATTTGTTTTTAATTTAATTTAATTTTATGTGAATGAGTGTTTGCCTGCATGTATGCATGTGCACCGTGTGTGTGTGTGTGTGTGTGTGTGTGTGTGTGTGTGTGTGTGTGTGTGTTACCCACAGAGACCAGAAGAGGGCGCCAGAACCCCTAGAACTGAATTACTGCTGGCTTTCAACTCTGTGTTTCAACTCTGGATATCCTAGACTCCTTCTGCCTCCCCCATCCCCTTTTTAAATAGTATCTTTTAAAAATGTGTATATATATATATATAATAGTATCTTTTAAAAATGTGTATATATATATATATTTCTTTTTTAAGATTATAAGATTTTAAGATTATAATATAATTACAATATTTCTCCCTTCCCTTTCCTCCCTTCAAACCCTCCCGTATAACTCTCCTTTCTCTCTCTCAATTTCATGGCCTCTTTTTTCATTGTTATTGCATGTATATATAAATATTTGTGTGTGTATATATAAATATATATTCCTAAATATAACCTGCTCATTATTTTATGTGTGTGCCTGAGTGTACATATGTGCACCATATGTATGCAAGAGCCTATAAAAGTCAGAAGAGGGCATCAGATCACCTGGAACTGCTGTTGCAGACAGTGATGAGCTGCCACATGGGTGCTGGGAATCGAACCTGGGTCTTCTGCCAGAGCAGTAAGTGCTCTTAACTGCTGAGCTGTTTCTCCAGCCCCATATTAAGATGACATCTTAATATATAGTTCAGATTGGCCTTGAACTCAGTCCTCCTGCCTGAGCCTCTCAAGTGTGGAGATTACAGACATATGCTGATATTCCCAGCTACAACTGACCTTTTAAGCTTCAGGCTTTTTTTTTTTTTTGGTTTTTCACGACAGGGTTTCTCTGTGTAACTTTACACCTTTCCTGGAACTCACTTGGCAGTCCAGGCTGGCCTCGAACTCACAGAGATCCACCTGCCTCTGCCTCCCGAGTGCTGGGATTAAAGGCGTGAGCCACCACCGCCCGGCAGCTTCAGGCTTTTAAAGGAAAAGAATCTGTGCATGATACTTACTGATCACACTTAATTTTACTTGTATTCAATTTGAATCTGGACAGTGAGGTTTTAAAGCTTTAGAACCAGCCATGAAAACAATGATACACATGTGCCTGTACACACACACAGCACACACTGACCCACAACCAAATAATTTGGTTATGCAACTTTAGGAATGAGTATGCTAATAGGTCATAGACTAAAATGATTTGTCAAAGACTATCAGAAGCACAGGTGACAGGCGGACCAGTGGCCAAGGGCAGATAGACCTCCGCCTCACAGGTTCATTCAGAGGCCCGTACTCCTTTCTCCACAGTTAGGGGACTATCTTTTCTGTGTGCCCAAAGCTTACTCAGCAGCCCTCTCCATTCTCATCTGAGGGAAAGACCAAAGAAAAGCCTGGGTGTGAAACACACGACGCAGGTCGTGCATCTCTTACTCCATTGGTGAAAACTCAGTCCGGTGGCCGCAACTAGTTAGAAGAGAGGCTTTGAATGTAGTCTCTACCTGAGTGTAGCCACGTGCCCAGCTGAAAACCATTATTGTAGAACTAGAGAAGAGAGTCGAAGTTATAATAAAAGGTGCAGTATGCTGGTGGCGGCGCACGCCTTTAATCCCAGCACTCGGGAGGCAGAGGCAGATGGATCTCTGAGTTCAAGGCCGGCCTGGGCTACAGAGCGAGATCCAGGACAGCCAGAGCTACACAGAGAAACCCTGTCCTGAAAAACAAAACAAAAGAAAAAACAGTGCAGTAAGTAAAGACTGTGGTTACAGAGGCATTCCTTAGTGGGGTGCTGGAGACTCAAACTCGGGTCCTCATGTTTGAGTGGCCAATCCTTCCCTGACTCAGCCCTCTCCTTACCCCCATCTTCAGCCTTTTAAAAAATAGGTTAACACGCTCCTGTGTGTAGA